CGGGACACACGAGGTGCTTGCTGCCGCAGGAAAAGGGCTTTAGGACATTTCCGCATGCAGGTGGCATACTAAGCAGCAGAAGTATGAATGTGAAGTGACATCAGCCTCTAAAGGCATCTATTAAAAAAAAAAATAAAAGGCTAAGGAAAGCAGTTTGTAAATAACTGAAATACAGGGTATGATGTGGCTTACCTGATTAGAGAGATTTTGGCTTCCATAATAACTTATTTTTCCTGATCAAAACCTCTCCTCCAAAATCCATTGGTTTTGTGGAACTGATAGATCTGGTTTTTGTTCCCATCGATCAACAGAAAACTTGAACGCAGAGGGGTCCATGCAAGTGATTTTCTTTTAAAAGGCAGAAAATAACTGTGTTCTTGGTGTCTGGTTGCAACACGTGAACAAAATTACAGGTGTGTGGCTATCAAAGCTAATCGTGACACACCGGTAACTCCTAGGGCAGCGCAAGAGATCTGTCTTCCAGGTGTGTTTTCAACTAGGAAAGTATTGGAGCGATCTGCGAAGCAGAGATTCATAATGGCAGGTACTTGAACTAACAGGTTTTCACCGTATGTCTGCAGAAAGCCTTTGGCTTTTGACAGACATACAAAATTAAAAATGTTTTTAATTAAGCAGGCATTTTTTGCGTTTGAAGGTTCTCTTGAGGCATCTTTTAAAATGAAAACATTCTGTCCTCAGGAGATTCTGAAACAGCAGAGCCTGCGGATGTTCGAGCTGGTCCAGAAGCATCCGCCCCACTGGCCGCCTTTCATACCTCCGACAAAGCCAGAAGTGACGACCACGGGCGCAGGTGCGGTACCGGCGGGCAGGGCTCTCGTGCACAGAGCGTCCCTCCTTAGCCAACAGAAGAATCAGCGCAGGTGGAATAACTGCGCTTTCCTGAGCGTCACGCGATCACCACGCGATTAACTGCCTTATCCTTACCCAGTATCAGACAGTTATCCAGACAGGCCACGTACCAATTGCTAGCACAGATTTATATATATATATATTTTTTTTTTTTTTTAAATCATACAAAATACTTTGAAGGACACATTCCAGAAAAGTGGGGGTTTTTGGGTGTTTTTAAGTAAACAAAATCGGGCATGTCTTTAGAATCTAAAATTGTTTAATTTATTTTTTTTTTCAGAACTCATTGAATCTACTGACAAGCTATTTGAATTGGAAGAAGAATTTGAAATCCTGAGCGTATGAAGGAAACTGCGGTGACCCTTCTGAGTATTGAACATATTGCTAGTATTATTGCATTGACTTAAATCAAACAGCCATGTTAGCCCCAAAGTGCCTGAAATTACAGATACCAGAGCACAAAAACCTAGTAGCATCCACAGCTCCAACAGTGACGGTTCCTGCTGTCAAAGAGCTTCCCCAGATGGAAAGGCAGTAAAAGACCGTACAGCAAGAGCCTTAAAGGGAACCTCTTTTTAACGGGTGTCTTTCCTGAAGACAAATGGACCTTTGAGATTAAGGCAAAAATAAGTATATCACTGGGCTGTATGTCTGGAGAAAGGGATAACACCAAATGGATACTTCTTGCTCTCATATAATGCAATAGTTTAGTTTTTAAAGCAAAACAGTTTTCAGTTAAGGAGGATGTTTACTTCTGTTCCCTCCTGTGGGCTGCATCGTAGAAAAAAATACATTGTCGTGTTTAAAAGATCGACTGCATCAGAAGAAAATTGTTTCCTTGTTAAATATTTTAACATGTATTTGAGCAACCACACTTTATTACAAAAATGTTTCTGTAAAAGGAACTGTGTCTAATGCATACGTTCTGCAATAGCCTTCCTGTTTCTGGGAAACCTCAAGAGGAACAGGAGACTCAAACAGTTGATGTAGATCACAACCACTGTTATAGTTCTGATATATTTCACCTTGACCTTAAGATTCAGATCATTAAAACTTAGGCTGACTTTTCTTTCGGAGCTAAAATGAGTCAAAGGTGGTTTAACTGTACCTTATTTATTTAAAAAAAAAAAAGATTTACACAAGTTTCTCTGTTACAGCACTTTATCTGTGCATCTAATAAATTTCTTAAGCTTTTCATAGGTTGTATGCTGCTATGTTTTGTTAATTTGTTTGTGTGAACTAAATATAAACCAGGTTATCTTAAAACTTAATATATAGGCATATGCAAATTACTTAATTGTTGGGTTTTGACTTGTTGCCTTTTGAAATCTGTTTTGGTAAAAGTGCCTTAATCTACAGGTTTATCAGAACAGCCTGTGCGGTTTTAGTTCTAAGGCAGAGCATCTCTCTAGCAGCCATAAGAAAAACAGCTCAGAATAATTAAAGGCAAAGATCTTTTAATCCATTATAAAGTTCCTTTTTGCTGTCAGGCAGTCCCCACGATGGTCATTTTGTCACGACAGTGTAACGGATGCGCATCGCACAGTTTCATCTTCACCAATAAATGACAACATAGAGAAATACCGAATGCTGTCTCCTCTCACTTGCACTTCTTGCTCAGGGCCAGCGTGACTTCCAAGAGAGCCGTTAACCAGATCGTGTTTCATCTTGTTTGCCTTCAATGTTTATTAACCACAGTTTGGAAACTCTACACTTAGAAAAAATAGCATTTTCTTCCCCTCTCCACGGATTAGCTGCATGTTTTTTTTAAAGCAAAGCATTACTTTTTAATTAATACATGAACTTATTGTTCGTGTAGCAGCGAGTGTAGTCCTCTCTTCCCCACAGACAAAAATGAAGCCCTTGCTCTGAAATGCTCAGTCTCCAGCAGTAACTGCTAAAAAAAAAAAAGCACCACCTAAGTTAAAAAACAAAAATAATAAAAATAATCCGTGGAGGACAGTATCCTTGCTCCCCTCTCAGCAGTTACGTAAACATGTCAGGGAGGAGGCCTCGGCCCGCAGACCTCCTGAAGGAGGATTCCTGGGGGGGGCAGACCGGTTTATGAAAATGGGGCTGGCGATGGGGACTGCGGCCCCGCGCGCCTGCCGGAGAAGGGCTTGCGTGTAAACAGCGTAGGGTTTTTTAGGGAAAGGCCGGGCTCGTGGGACTTGATGAAGTCTGGACAGTGTGCTGCAAGAGAAGCGGTTCCCTACAGCCATCAGTGCTTAGAATGCATGCGGCTCCGATCCCGGGGAAAAAAGCTAATTGTCTTTGCACGTGTCCATGTTCAGAAATAAAACCAAGTCCCTGCAGACACAATACCTGATTGAAACCCCTTCTTATAGCACCGTGGGAGCCCAACGGCTGACAAATTCATTGTAGTTTGCCAGTTATTTGCACAAATTCTCAAAAAATAGTGAGCTTCCCTGTGTGCACACAGTGTTTTAAAGTTGCCTTTGCGTAACCCGAGATGGAAGCACAACGTGATCTGTCTGTACTGGGACAGCGAAGAAGCAGGCTCAATATCCTGCATAAAAGGATTGCCACTGCCTCAAAGATATTTGCAAAATATATCCAAAGCTGTTGCAGGTCTTGCACAATTAGGAAGAAGTTAAATGAGAACTAAATCGTTCTTCGCAAATTCCCTGCTCATCTCCAGCGTGGTTCAACTCTAGAACAGGCCGAGCTCTCTGACTCCGATCTAGGAAGATCATGTATTATGCATGCAAATAATCATTAAAGGTAAAAATACTATCTGCTTAAAAGTACGCATGTTCTTTTCAAGTACTTTTTCAAGTACTTTGCTGAATAAAGCTCGAGCCCTAGAACCTAGTAAAGAAATAATACTTTAAAATAAGGTCTCAGGCTTGCATTAATAATAATTTTCTGAACAATTTTGTCTTAAAGATTTTTAAGCTGAGGTGATAGTGTATTTGCAAGGCACTTCTTTCAAATGTCCTGGGAATGTCAATATGTAAGGGTTTCATACGCTTTACTCTAGAGAAGTTGATAATAATAACTTCAGCCCAACTAAATGAATTCATTCGATATATATATTAGCATACCTGTTCCATGGCTTTCCCTCAACGCGTACAAGGATAATACAATTAGCGGCACTTCTCTTTAATTACGCCCTGAAGGCAAGCGTGACTAGTTAACAGTGCATACACTAGAGAGAAATTTTTTTAAACTAAACAGAAATAAAGCCCAGAGGAAGAAGTATACAACACATCGCGACTGCAGAAGGAAAAAACGTACATGCCATAACTGCCTACATCTGTGTTTGCATTAAGCTTGCGTGCTGTCTAGTAAAGCCTCTATTTTTCAAATACACACAGCTTGAATAATTAGAGAACAAGTGTGCCAAGGCTACCTCAGAAAGGAAATTTATGTTTCTAGTAATGAAATGTTCCTGGTGGCTGCACATCATTTGACTGCAAGAAGATAAGCACAGGCCGTGAAGTAGACATTTTACCTGGAATATATTTCAATAGAAAGCTATGAAAAATGCTAGAGCTGTTTTGGATTTGTCTTCACATCAAAAACGGCATTTTTCACTGGGGTAGCTCTTCAAAGTCAACCGTGGATGAGAGTCTGGATTAGAACTGATTACCTGTCACTGGAGGAAAGAGCATCCCATCTGTTTAAGGAGCAAAGCAAACCAAATAAACCTTTGAGTCTTCCTAAGGAAGTCAGTTATCAACCAGCAATGCTTAGTGTTTCTACGTCACCTACAATACACTGATAAATTTTAGCTAGCTCTGTATTTCCTAGGAGAATGAGCCTTCATTCCCTTACACTAGACCAAATACTGTTTGCAAAGACACTAAGAAAGCATAACACTTGAAAAGTCTCTCTTGTTGATGGCTGGCATGTGCCTCGGACAGAGGAGTGGTGTGATATGAGACATCAGTTACTCTCTATCTCAATGAGGAACTCGCAGAGACTTTCTGAGGTAGCCATAAATGAGGGAAAAAAACCCACTGAAGTAAAAGGATAGCACCATGTTCCATAAAAAGAGGTTTCAGAGCGCTGGTCCTTTCCTCCTCTACGTGCAGTCAAACTCCTGGACTTGACACTCGATTTTTGTAGAATTCTGGCTGCCTTGATTCACCCATCAACCACACACAAAACAGGTTTATGAATTTATCCTTCTTCGCATCAGTGATGTCTAGTCTTAGGTAACAAAGACTGTTAATGTTACTGCGTTTTTGTTACTACAAGTTCTTCATGCACACTTGGCAACGGCTGACCCTCGTTCGAAGCTGTCCGGCTTTCAGAGTTTCCGAGGGAGGAGCACTGACAAACTGCTGCGACTGTTCAACGGTCGTCAGCCAGAAGCTGTATTTGTTTGCAAAGTAATGGCATGTTCCCCTAGCGCCGTTGCACTCAATGAATGGAGTAGCACGGAAATCCTCCAGGCAAGAACCAGGCGAGACAAGGGACTGACCTCCGCCTTCTGCACCAGCCGCGGTATGCTGAAATACAGACGTCAATTTAAATGAGTTCAAAGGAACAGAATGGGAGGTAAAGAGGGGAGTCCTCCAGGTCCATTGTTAAAAGGAGTAAACCAGGCAATGAAAGTTATACCTTGGCTATGCCTACCTGTCTTCTGAGTCAGGGCTAGAGGTGAAGAAGCAAAAGAATGTACTTAGGCGGAATACAGGCCTGGTATAATGGAAAACCAGCTTTCACTTGCAAGCTGGGAAAATTTAGAAGCAATAATGCCGACTTCATACTTTTCTGACAATCTTACACTAACGAGCTTCCAGGAGGGTGCAATGGAAAGTGTTCTACTTTTTCCACTGAGAGAGGGGATTAAGACAATGCTGTAGCTTAATTAGCGTTTCCACATTTAAAGGTTTGAAGACCAAGGAGTATCGGCGGCAATACAGAACTACTGCATCAATGTTACTACTGAACTTGAGCAGCAGAGGTGAGAAGGCCAGCTAAATGGGAACAAGCCCAGAAAGCCTACAGCAGGCCAGCTGATAAAGAATAAACGATCAGGGCAAGAAGCTACAGGGCTCCAGTTTCCTGTAAGCAACTCACAGAACACAGTCTCAGTCACCTAATCAAAGAGGAGGTCCAGAAACGCTTAAAGCTGCCTTTGCATTAGCAATAGTATCCTTACCATAAGGAAGGAGTATCCTATCCATAGGCTGCGCCAACCAAGGGGACACTGCGGGATGGTGATGTCCTGGCTGTGCACAGCCACAGCCTGGGAAGGTGCTTCACATACGGAGCAACGACTGATGTACTGCGGGATCTGAGCACTGTCCACGGGCATCATGGGGATAGGAGCAGTGGTGGAGAGCCAGTAGGACTTGTCATTTCGGCTGGCGTAGTAGCACACTTCATTGATGTTGCAGTAAATAAACGGCATGGTGCTGAAGCGAGGCAAACATGAGCCAGCAAAACCTGGAAAAATTGGAGAAGCGGTCATACTAAGCATCTGCCAAACGCTCCAGCTCATACACACCAGACATGAGTGGTGGAGGATGGCACAAGCGACACTGCTCCCGGTACAGATTCTGGCCAAGTAGACTTCCACCACCTCTACTACAACCACCTGCGGTATCAATGAAGATTGCTCATTTGAAATGGCGTTTTGGTCTACATTGTTTATGCCCGAGCGAATTCCGTCAACTCACCAAGATCCTGGTTGTGTGCCTTTTCCTGCCCCTCCACGTACAATAAGCTGTAGCCATCCCAGAGCTTATTCATCCCTATGGGACAAGGTGGGATTTGCTCTGACTGACTGTGCTTCACCAAAGTGTATCCAACGCCCACGCTCCGACCAGGCATTCCCGGCAAACCAAGTGAGCCCGGCTTTCCAGCAACACCTAGAAGACAGAAAAGGAGTCACTATTACTAATACGCAGTGTGGACATCAGCTAGCTCTATACCTGATTTTGGCATTGCTGTCATTGTGTTTATGTCAGTCTTGTACAATGAGGAGCACAAGTTTTTGCGGCTGGTATATGAATAACTAGACTTACCAGTTCCAAAAGCAGTCATTTCATAGCAGCACCCACCCATTTCCTACCTCATTTAATTTTCTTTCTTTGCCCAACAACTCTGGTGTCAATGTGTTAGCACATATCCCACAGTACAATAATTCTGAGGATCTCAAAGCACCAACCAAACCTGAATAAATTCATTTTTGCTCTAGTGTTCTTCATGATGATATTCCTTTGACACAGAAAGGCCAAAAGTTGTACGACAAATCTGTGGCAGAATCCAAACCTTCTCTCTCTCACTGTGCCTTTCCTCTACTATCCAACCCTCACAGCTGTGTTCACTGTCAATACCATTTTGCTCTTTTAGAACTTCAAGATGACTCCCACATCCACAGAACATTAAAGCCAAAAGATGTCCAGCATTGTACCTAGGGAAACACCAGCAGTGACAGACAACAATGACATGGGAGATAATCTTCCTCACTGAAGATTAGATTTACTTCATTGCAGATACAAGATTGTGTACATCCCCATGCCTTCCCAAGGTAACTGGGTGTTGAGGAGGGTCTCTGCAGAACCTGTATGCAAACAGAATTCCTTCTTTCTGATCTGTGCTCCCCAAATCATAAAATTACCTTCAAATCCTTGTGGTCCTGGGGCACCTGAAGGTCCTGGATCCCCAGCTACGCCAGGTGATCCAGGTAAACCATCACGTCCTTTCAAACCAGATCTTCCTGGCAGACCTTTTGTACCTGAAATTAAATACAATCATTACTGTCATTATTTCCTCATACTAACGCCTTCTCTCCTGCAATCATATTCCAGAAGAGAAATATGTTGTCAGCAGCCATGCTGGGAGCTCACTCTTCAACAGCTGTGGTTACAAACAACTAACTCCATGCAGTGATTCCACATGATCTGACTGTTAAAGGATCACAAGGTGCGGCGGAACATTAGGCAAGGCTGAAAATGCAGCACTGAGATCTGGGATAAGCTACTGATTTCAGTCTGAAGCCACATTGGACCTAAGGCTCAGGTTTCAGTTTGATGGCTGTGGAAGTCTGTGAACTCTTCTCATCTCTCTCACAAGATTCCTGCCGCTGTGAAAGCAAGAATCCTCTGGTATAATGGTCCAGCTGTTGTAAGCTGAAGAAAGTTGAGCTACCTTGCTGAAATTTTGCTTAAGACTTGAAGTCACTTCTTTGGCTTGATTTCACCCCTTTTTCAAACCAGAAAATTGGCCTTGATGTTCAGTCTAAATTATGTAAAATTAGAGCCATTGACTTGAACTAAATTCACCTTTCCCGTCCTCCCCCTGATATTTGATGGTGAGCATCTGACTGACAAATCTTTAAAAAGTCTCAGGGCAGTGAAGGGTGCTCAAAATATAAAGGCTTAGAATTTAGTGGGATGTAAGAGGAGGTGCCTGCTTGTGGACCTTTAGAATCCATTCAGGACTGTCCTGACCCCAAACTAGAAAGGTCTGGCATGGATTAGATAAACCAACAATAAAATAAGTGTTCAGGATGGTACGAGTTAAAATATAACAAAATACTATGTAAAGAGACAGAAGGCATTATGCAACTGCACAGAGCTAGATACCTAGCATGTGATCAGTAATGTGGAAGGTTAATAGTAGTATAAAGGAACATGTGACTGGGAAACAGATGGGTGTAAATTTGCACAACTTTTGTAAAGATTAAGCATTAAAAATAGTATAAATAGGGGTAATTTCACAATGAACGTCTCTCTTTCCAGAGCTCTGCAGTGTCTGTTACCTGATTGCCTGACCAGCATTAATAAAGGCGCTCTCGGCTTTTACTCCCTGCACAATTATTCACTTCAGGAACCGACAACAGGAAGCCAGGAACTAACACAGCTCTATTCACTGTGACGGGATTCAGGATAACATCTAGGGGAAGGACTGGTGCTAAGTGATGTTCCTGCTCTAGGAGTTTCCATGAATAAAAGAGACTACTAACATTTAAAAATCACCTAAATGGCAGTGCTAAGAAAGGAATCATGGGGACTTGCTGGGCCTAGGAGAGCCAACTGGTGCAGGACCCACCAGAGCTGCTTTGCCAAACAATATGAACCACAGTGGTGCGGGCTGAAGTTCCCAGCACTTCTCCAGTTACAGTATTTCATTGGCAATTCAAATAATTCTCAGTGGTGAATCATTTTCATGACGACTCCACCTGCTAGTACCAAAGCCGGTATCGTATCGGCTACATCACAGGCTGCTGCAACCTAATTCTGGAAACCTAATTAAAGAACACTATAAAAGTGCATGAACAGAATTTATCAAATACATTCTAATAATAATAAAACATGCTATTTGTATGCATTTTGCTGGAGTTATTTCCTTTATCAGAAAAACCTGTAAACCTTCCTAATGCATTTAAGAAAGTAGTGTTGTTCTTCCAGGAGGCCAGCATTTCAGTGATCTCAGTGTACTTTTTACCTGTTTTTCCAGCCGGCCCCTGGAATCCAGGATCTCCATCAAAGCCAGGGACGCCATCAATTCCTGGCAGACCAGGTAAGCCTGCAGGGGCTGTGATTTCTTCTGGCTGCGGGGTTATACCTGGAGCCCCTTGTCGGCCAGGGAGACCTGCACACAGTGCAAATGACAGTGTAAGTACCCCACAAAAAATTCACAGTTTTGATGATATACTGACACAAGGGAGAAGTATGCTAAATTAAGACTGCCTTAATACATCAGCACTGGGTATCTTTGTAAAAAGTGGTATGTCAAGCTCTTCCTAATTTATTTCAATCTCTAAGAAACTAATAGTCCCCCAAATAAGCTCATTAAGGGAGCTCTGAAATTTTCCCCAGCCCAAACCATGTGCAATAAAGTACAAAAGCTTTTCAAATCCCCCAGCACTCACCTCGACGGCCCATTTCACCTTTCAGCCCAGGGGTCCCCCAAATAAGCTCATTAAGGGAGCTCTGAAATTTTCCCCAGCCCAAACCATGTGCAATAAAGTACAGCTTTTCAAATCCCCCAGCACTCACCTCGACGGCCCATTTCACCTTTCAGCCCAGGGTAACCAGGATCCCCCGGAGCCCCATCTTTACCTGGCATCCCCATAAGGCCAGGCTCCCCTCTTATACCTGCAAAGATACACAGCTAAAGACGTCAGGGGCTAAGCGTGGGGTCCTGACTCTGATCCACAGCTGGGCCACTGAGAAACACACTGATGGCAGTGATGGCAGCAGCAGTTCAGCTCAGAGGTGGAGGGGACCACAACCCTTAAGGAACTCTGTGCCCATTCTGATGTCCTGAACGGCTGCAGAGCCTCAAGACAAGAATTTCCACTGCTACATAATTACACTTTATTGAAAGTATTCTTCCCCTTCCTTGGGTAACCCAGGGAAAGTGTTTGGGGAGTGCACATCTTTCCTATTTCGAATCCACCTCTGTGCACAGCACAGAGGGATGGGGATCTGCCAGCCTACAAAGACAGCGTACAGTTCTTCACCTGGCGAAGGTTCTCCATCCTTTCCTGGCTTTTGAGCTGTGCGGTTTCTTTGAAACCTTGCTACTAGAGTTCTTGTTTGCAGCTGCCCTCTAGTCTCCTTTGGCAGAGACCGAAGAGAGAGCAACCTGCTCCCTGCCTTAGCCCAGAACAAAATCTCTTCACTCCTACAATCCTCTTAGCCTGTTCTGGAGACCTAAATCCACCATGCTATGCCTCTGAGCACACGATGGGTGGGATGAAACAGCATCTCCAGTCTTTGCCTGGACAGCATATGCAAGTGGGTAACTATAGTCGACAAGCACAGCACCATTGCATGTGTACTTCATCTACTCAGAAAAAAAACAAAGAGAAGAGAAAAAAATCATTAGGGACACACTGAAGAGCACTTGGAGCTGGCCTCACTTTGCTGCTTTTGGAGTCAGTAGGTAAAACCTGCATGGGCCAAAAGGGAAGACTTGGACAACAAACTCAGCTGTGCTTACACCTGAACGAGGATTCGTTTCAAAGCAGTCACACTGATCACACGATAGCCATTCATACTGTCAAGGTGACAGCTGCCAAACCACACCCAGACCCTTTCAAGGCAAGATTACCTTTGAATCCAGATGCTCCAGGGAGTCCAACTGGACCAGTGGGTCCCACGTCACCCTTAATGCCTCGCAAACCAGGAACACCAGGGAAGCCTGGATTGCCTGTGTCACCTTGGTCAGAAGCTGGGCCAGGGGGCCCTCGGGGTCCTGGAGGGCCTGGAAGACCTAGAGACAACAGGGGTAATTAGCACAATCTGCTCCTCTGGCAAAGTAAATGCTGGGGCTATCCCCAGCGCATTATTGTTTGGGTGTCTATATTTCCAGCGGTGTCCTCCTCCCGAAGGAAAAGAACCAGACCCCACCCGCTTATATCCACTTAGGTCCCATAAACTTTTAAATCCTTTTAACCACAGTAATTTAGCTTGAAATTCTGGGCCTGAGCATAGCCCTTGCCCCACCTGGTAGCTAGCCTGGTGAGTCAGATGTTCCCTAGGAGAATGAGAGCATTCAAAATCCTGGCTTCAAATCCTTGGCCAGGGAAAGGCCTTCAGTCAGCCTCTCCGACAAGGCTGTGAGGTATTGAATGGGTACCAATGCCATCATGACAAATCTTTCAAACTATACTTGCTGTCGACCCTACAACAAGTGCTTCTTACGTACCTCTAAGTAGCAACGAAGCTTTGCTGCCTCCTATCGCACACAGCATACTTCTAGAGCTTTACACAGAGTCTATGATTACAGCTGTGGAAACCACAGTCCAAAATGGAGCTGGTGTCCAAATTTAGACATACTATGCTGGACTTAAGTACTTACCTTAGTGCCCAAGTCTGTCTTCAGTACCACAATAGGTGCAATGAATATGGACTAGAAAAGCTTTAATAACAGGCTAAATCAAATCAGGATTCAATAGCAGGAATTGAAAACAGATCTTCTCATTCTCCATCCCTGATGTAAAACTCAGGTTATTAAAGTGACAGTAGTCATCCAAGTCATTTCACCTCAGAGCTCTTCAAAGAAAACACATAACCAGAAATCCCCTTAGCTAGTCCACTCTCCTTACGAGGCCTCTCTTCATACCTGAACTCCCATCTGTTCCTGGATGGCCAGCATCCCCAGGTCTCCCACGTATATCAGAAGGAAGAGAAACCCCAGGTGTTCCTGGCAAGCCAGGCAGTCCCACAGGACCAGGGGGACCTAGAATAAGAAATACAAAGTGAGAGAGTGTACCCAAAGCTCTTCCGGGATCTTCACAGACATGAACAGAAGTAGTGGCTGAGTAGCGTTTATATTGAGGAGAACAAAGAGACATCTCACTACATGAGGGGAAAAATTACTATATTCTGCTGTTCAGGAGAGGTATAGACACTGTGAGAACTATGTAACCAAGTGTTTCTCAAATATATAGCCACATCACAGATTTAACGTTTACCTGTCAAACCACTAACCACCCCTGTGGCTTTAGGAGTTCTCTTTGGTAATTCTGCTGACCATGCAACCCACTGACCTGAGCTGCTGGGCTTCCAGAACATCAGTATTTACCCATGTCTCCTGATGAGCCTTTTGGTCCAGGGAATCCTAGAGCTCCTCTACCCAAGCCTGGAGAACCTTCTTCACCCTTCGGACCTGGGAGACCTGCAGGGCCTTTCAGTCCAGTTTCACTCAGGCCTAATTAAACACGGTTAACAAAGATAAGAGAGCCTATTCAAATTGCCTAATAGCAGTTAAATTATTACACAAACTGAGCTGTAATAAAAAATTAGCCATTTACTACTACACTCTCTGCTGTTTTCAGCAGAGCAACAGAAAGAGATTTGGAGCCTCATGTGCTACTCTGGTTGTGCAGAGTGAATTTAAACAATCTGCAAGATGCTGAGAGAGAAGCATATGACTGTTTTGGTCTTCCCACAAGCTCTTGCACAAGGATGTGAACATAGCACTCCTGTGACAGGATTTGCCTGCCCGCCTATGTGCTGTGTCTCTCAAGAGGATTCAACATAGACTCAAGCTTCTGGTCTTCAAAGAATCTGGTGGGCTTCATGCTCCAACATGGAGAGATCAGTTTCCACAGACTACTGCAGAAGACACACTGAGGCACAAGTGGTGCAGGGCAGAGGCTCCCAGGAAGAGCTGCAGGGAGATGTTCAGCATGTCACTCTGGCAAGAGTAAATACTAAGCAGCTCCCTCAGACAGGAAAATTGTGGAGGATCTATATGCTGTAAATCATTACCTTCCAATAGAGAATGTTTTACACAAAGAAAACACAGGTATTATTTGGGTTGTACACATCAAGACTGTTTGTCTGTTTTCATGCATAAAATGTCTGCCACAGATTTTAGGTTCTGCTTTACAAGATGACTGTAACTAAACAAGTCTTTCTCCACCTCTTTACATTTAGTAAAACACTGTTTGTAAAACAGAACAACATTCTATTTCATACAGTTAAAAATATGAAAAAATCCATCAGAAGCTTCCCAAAAGCAGAATCCAGAATCTAATCAAAGAAATCACCTTCTGATTTTACTGATGCCTTTCTGGAGCTCCATATAATGGAGGGCTATGGAAAGCAGCAGGGAAACATGCCATCGCTAAGACCAACTCAAAGCAAGCGTTTGATGCTGCCCTGCTAAAATCAAACATCCATTAGAAATGGAAGAGTTTTATGATTTCATTCCATCGGCTTTCCAGCAGTGACATAGTCCTTCAGGAATTCAAGGACAACCATCACCAGAAAAGCCTCTTCACTCCACAGGCTGCATCCTATTCTTACTGGCATTAAAGAAGAATTTGTTCACGCACATTCAATATCCTGAGGTTTTTCTTCAGGTTACAATTAAATCCAGAACTGGGTGAAATAGGGGAATTTTGTGGGGAAAACTGCTCTCATGATGGACCAGTGTATGCATTTCCCCAGCTATGACACTTCTACTACACATTTCCTTTACCTGGTGTTCCAGGAGACCCTTTTGTGCCTGGCAAGCCATTCAGACCATTTAAACCCGGAAATCCATGAAACCCTGAAGAGACATTGGGAACATGTAAGTGAGCAAATAAGCAAATAATCTAGTTAGGTGGAAAGGCATAAGATGTCTCCTGGAGACTACAACACGTACGAGAAACCTGACACACAGGGGAACACAGTATGTAAAGTCTTCCTTCACACAGGCCCCCTTCATGGAACCTTTTCCTGCTGCTCTCATCGGTTTTACCCTGAGTGAACACCCATCAGTGATCCAAACCAAGTGAGAGCCTCTCCCTTTCCAACCACTTCTCTGCTCATTTCTAGCAGCTGGTGCCTGCACTAACATTGCCAAGAAATGAGCTGATTTCCCACGCACAGCTGGCCCACAGATAAGAGTGCTGCCTGCCTGCTGTGATATACTTGGCCAAAACACTGGTTTTCTGACCCAATTTCTCCCACCATGTGCAGGCTCCAGATATACCTTTAGGTCCTGCTGTTCCATGAGCTCCAGGGAATCCGACAGATCCTGGCTGCCCTGGAGGTCCTGGTGGCCCAGGGATTCCTCGCAGCCCAGCATTTCCAGGGATCCCTAAAAACAAGCAGAAAAATGTTCATGTACTACACATCCAGGATGGAACAGCTCACAGCTTCTGTTCCTGCACTTAGCTCATAGGATGGGTGAATAAATTGCTATTAAGATAAAGCAAAACCAGATCCAAATCTCTCCTCACTACCACTACTAGCATAGCACTTATCAAGCTATTTATTTCATAGCTTTTTTTATTTTTTAATCATAGCAATGACACTTTTCATTATCCACCAAGTGACAGACTGGAACAGTTCACATACTGAATAACTAATTAAATTGTTTTTCAAATAAAATATTCCAATAATGACTTTCACTGTTCTCCCATCTTTAATCTCAATAACAATTGGAGAATCTACCTGCTAGTTACACCACTCCCAGTCACTTGTAGCCATCCTTCTGGGTAGGTTTGACTCTAGAGAGGCAATGGACAGAAGTGTTGCAATAGAAGATTTTAGAGCAGCCTTGCCCATAAGCAGCTGCAAAGAAGCTGCTACTGCTTGTATCTAATCGAGGTCTTTCCTATTTGCTAAAAGAAATCCTTTAGGTTTCCATTGTGCAGGATTCACCACATGGTTGACCCACAGGATCAGTCAAGACAGGACAAGGTGACACCTTACACTAGTGTCAAAGAAAATTCCCATCTTCTTGTCAACCTTCTTGTTCAAGCCTCAGCTGAGACAGGCCAACCAGGGCTAAGGAAACAACAAGGCGAGGTTGTTCTACAGTCACACCATGAACTGCAGAACTCAGATGCCTAGTCCAGTACCTGCTGGTCCTTCTTGGCCAAGATCTCCTGGGCCGCCTTTGAGTCCATTCACCCCAGTGTTTCCTGGGTAGCCTGGTTCACCCTTGAGTCCTTCTCTCCCTCTCTCTCCTGAAAGGTTAAAAACAGACAGCATGCTAGAGCACAAGTCAAACTGAAGGAAGGCGTGAAAAGAATGAGAAACACGTTATGTTGAGGCTGCAGAACTTGCGTCTGCTTAGCCATGGTCTGGGCCCTGGACTGGACTCCCCGGATGCCAAATACCAGTGCAAATCCACAAGTTCCTCCTCAAAAAGCAAAGTGGGACCCAGCATTACAATTTGGCTGTTCTCAGACATGTTCATTATCATCCAGATTTGTGCCCCACCTGGATTCCAGACTCCTCATATCTCACTTCCAGGAGAGGACTAAAGTATTCAAATTTATAGATTACAAAAATGCCCAAATTGGGCAATGCTACCCTGTTTAATCTCTAGAATTTTGCATTCTTGAAGTGAGCTACTTTACCTGGGAACCCTGGGTCCCCTCGCTCTCCTTTTGCTCCAGCAATGCCA